TCATGGTAGAATATTGTTTTGTGTGGTGTCATTGAGAAAAGGGGGTGTTTCAAAATTAAGATTACTAAGAGAAGAAGAGAGTGAGGGTTAGTAAAGATAAATATAAAGACGAGTGTGGGGGAGAGAATGAGAGAGAGAGAGAGAGAGAGAGAGAGGGAGGGGTGAACTGACAAGGTATGAGGTCAACATGAGGATATGATATTGGAGTTGGAAAGAAATTACTTGGGGAAGAAAAAAAGAGTGGAGAAAAGTTTGAAAAACAAATAGGTATCTACTGAGAATATACAATCCTCCCGATAACCTGACAAATGAGGGAGAGAGAAATAAACGAGAGGGAGAAAAGAAAAGGAGCATCCCTTACACAGTGGTCCTGTTAATTAATAGCATTTCTTACCCAATTAATATCGGTGCACCCTCGGCCCCTCCCGCCCGCTCCTTGATGCCAGTGCCCCATTAATACATAGACACAAATGGATTTACAATGAAAATGTGGGCGTTATACAGAGAGAAGAGGACAGAGAGATAGTGTATTTGTATACGATGAGAGGAAAAGATGAAGAAACCAAGAAAGACGGAGTTGGTAAAGAGACAAAGAGAGGAGAGAGGATGTGAAAAAATGTCAGAGGTACAAAGTCGAGGAGATCGGAGAGAGATACAGATAGAGAGAGAGAGAGAGAGAGAGAGAGAGAGAGAGAGAGAGAGAGAGAGAGAGACAGACAGACAGAGACAGAGATGAAGATAAGGAGGGGGAGAGAAAGGTAGAGAAGGAGTGGAAGGATTATCGACTTCCAATATTTCTAATCTGTAATCAAAATTGGGTCCATGATGACACTGACATTTTCTTAAAAACATAATAAAAAAAATTACTATTATGAAAGAGATTCCAAATGCTCTTCCAAAAGTCTTTAAAATTTAAAGTTTTTAAACGAGTCAATATAATGATATGAAGCTTGATGATTAATTTCAAAAGGAATAGGTAGAAAAGGCTTCAACAGGGCATGGAGGAAGTTTTGGTGAATACAAATACATGTGAAAGTAAAAGAAGGATATGTAACATACAGCTTCCATTTGTCTAAACATGTTTTTTTTCGGGAGAACAAAGTTTGCCACGGCATGCTCAGGCAATAGCGCCATCTTTTGACGTGATACGGTGCACTTTTAAAAACAGCAAAGACTTGAACTATCGTAATCATAGAGATTAAGTATACATCTCTATGATCGTAATAGAACAATAAATTTCTAATTTCGACTGAGCATCAAACGTAACCATAACGAAATAGCTTTTCCATATGGGGGACGTATCTACAATAACTTGAGAGCCATTGTTTTCTCACTTTAACCAGAGTATAACAATGGCGTAGATGAAGAAGAGAAACTATTTAAAAAGTTGGCCATTTATTTGCATGGGTGGGAGGGGTTGTTTGATCTTCTTCTTTTCACATTATTTTTGCTTCCCTTTTCTGTAACCTTACTTTCTGTGGCTTTTTTTTCTCCGTGGAAGGGTGGGGGCATTCGCAAGGAAACGTAAATGCAGTCACTCAGGAAGCGCTGGTGATATATCTTGAGGAAAAGGGATGATGTAAGCAGGAGGGGTCGAGTCTTTTCTTCTTCTTTGTTACCCCCATCTCTCTCTCTCTCTCTCTCTATCTCTCTCTCTCTCTCTCTCTCTCTCTCTCTCTCTCTCTCTTTCTCTCTCTCTCCCTCTCTCTCTTTCTTTCTTTCTTTCTTCTAAAGTTGTCAACAGATCATTAATGCAGAACGCAGCAAGCGCTCATTTTTTAATGATATAATATGATATAAATATATATATGATTGTTCATGCCACCATAATGAGGATACACCCATCCAACCTATCCGTCGTAAAAGCAAAACGCACTCTCATCGATCAGTAACATCTGTTATTGAGAAATATCCGAAACGTGTCAAATTCCATTTTCTTACTAGAAGAAGAGAGCTCATCCACCTCATGAGTTGGAGGGAAAAAATTGGAATTTAAAAAAAATAATCGAAGAAGAAGAAAAAAAAGGAGACTAATAAGGTGAATTAAAAGGGAAAAAAGAAGGAGAAAAAAAAGGAGACAATTAAAAGAAGATGAATTAGAAAAAAAGGAAAAGAAGAACAAGAAAAAGAAGAACAAGTAAAAGAAGTATATCAAGAAAAAAAAAGAGCAAGAAAAAGAAGAACAAGATGAAGAACCAGACCAAGAACAAGAACAAGACGAAGAGAGAGAAGGAGAAGACGAAAAAAGAAAAAGGCTGAGAAGAGGGTGGGGAAGACTGGGTAATCAGGCATAACAAGCCCAATATCGTCATGTGAGATGACATCTCCTGCATGACCAAATATCAACACTCCCTTTTCTTGAAGTTACGAGTGAGCGAGCAAAACTTATGATAATTTATAGTAACAGCATTATTTTGGCGTTTTTTCCAGCAAAATATAAGATAGGAAAGAAAAAAAATCAAATTGGTTTATAGTTCGCAGCCCAAATATTATTGATATTTGGCGTATATAGGCCTATAACCAGCTTTTTGTTATAAATTGGGGAGGAGGATATAACGTCGATAATCGATATATCTCGTCACATATTATATGTATTTATATATATATACCTCAAGTAATTTTCTTCACTACACATTCATCATTGTCTTGCTTTCTTAACGATAATTCGATGACATTTATGAAATCAACCAGGCCAAATTGAAGAAATTTGTTTGACTACTTTATTATTTGTTTTCATGTGACAATATCAGACTCTAGACCGAAAGAGCCGTATCAATATTAAATGATGATCCAGCAATCAACACATTTTACATGTAAAAATATGCACAGTCATTATGCTTCTACCGTTTTATTTTGTTCCCACGTTTTTTCAGCTCATTTCTTTTTCGGGGGGGGGGGGGCGTTTGCCACAACATGGAAGGGGGTCGGGTAGGACATGAGTTGTTGTGAACGTTTTTGTGCAAAGTGTGACTTTCCTAAAAAAAAAAAAAACTAACGTGCTTTTCAACCCTTGATGTTAATCACGCGTCAATAACTCAATAACATGCAGACTCTGGAATGATGAGCGGAGAAGGGTGGATACACCCACACCCTTCCCAAAATTTCAGGGCCCGCTGAGGGAGATAATTTGAATAAAGATTATAACATTTCCATCGGCTTAATTATCCCATTATGCTGACCCAATCGTTAAAAATAAAGTGTGTAATGTGAATTTTGATATTGGGAAATCATTATAACGAATGCTGCTTGATATATATTCATAATATATTTTTTGGTTTGTTTAGGAACTGTAAAGTTTCCATTTCGTTTTATAAGTTATTTAGACTCACAGTAAATCAATCGTTATGTAATAATAGGCCCTATATTGTTTTTCTTAAAATAAAGGGAATTATGTTGAGTGGATTGGATTTTCAATCAGTGTCAGTATATAAAGCAACCTCACACAAAAACAAAAGTTATTCTTGGAGATTGCGCTTTCCATTGCACCACCCAAACTTTGGAAATTGGCCCTAACCTATCACTAGATAGTAGATAGACCCAAGAATAGCCTCATCTGTTTTAATCGCAGTTTTGTTTGAAGACGCACTACGGTTTTCAGCAGCTTTCGAATACCGGTAGTTTTCTTTCATTGTTTGTCTGTAAAGTAGCAGTGTTGAGAGTTTTGTTTTCATCACAACGCAGTAGCGTATATTTATATAGGCCTACTTGTGTATATAGCTGTGCTATATAAATAGCTCTAGTTATTATTATTCATTATTATCTTTAATATTTTTTTTCTTTCTTATCTCTGTAAATGATACGATTTCAAGTTTTAAATTAATAGTTTTGTTCATGTATGAAGTATGCCGGGGACCCAACTGGAAATAACATGAGTAAAGTAGCACTGTTTGGAGTTTTGTTTTCATCATAGCGCAGTATAGCGTATATATTTTGTGTGTGTTTATACCTGTGCTATATAAATAGATCTAGTTCTTATTATTCATTATTACTGATATTAAGTTTTTTTCTTCTAATTTTATCTGTCTGTAAATCTGTCTGGGAGTGTCGTGGTCGAGTGGTTTAAGGCGCTTGACTTGAGATGCGAAGGTCGAGGGTTCGAATCCCGACACGGCACTAATATCCATTGGCAAGATATTAACCTGCACTTGCTACTCTCCACCCAGGTGTTAAATGGGTACCCGGTAGGATGCGACCGTCACTGTTAGTCAAACAGCTTGTGAGCGTCACGTAACGCCCGGCTGGAATGCTCCCCAGGGAGTGGAGGTTGTGCACACAGTGTGTGCGGGAAAGCACTGAATCCATTGACCGGGGTAATAGTATATTTGTAAAGCGCTTAGAGACATTTGTATTAAGCGCTATATAAAAATTAAATATTATTATTATTATTATTTTTAATACGAGTTTAAGTTTTTAACTTACTAATTTTGTAGATGTACATGTATTTCGGGGACCCCACTGGAAATAAGCTCTCGAGCTTTCCTGGGTTATCCTTTTTTAAGCTGACCTAATGTTGATTTGTCATTTTATATCGTTGTATGTTGGAGCCTTGTCGAATAAAATCAATCATAAAAATGTTACTGAATGCCAAAACTGAAAACTTAGCCATGACAGGACCATGCAAAATAAATGACAACAAAACCTTGAGTTATATAAACTGTCGCCCATTAATTACTGAAAAAATTCTATTACCTCTTTTTATAATTTGTGAAAAAGGTGATAAATATCATTTCAAATGTATATTTTCTCTAGATCAATTTGACTCTCAGATTGATCAATAAAGTTCTGCGAAAATCTAAACTTTATCAATCAAGAATAAATCATATTGTCACAATCATTTAATAAAAGATAGGTACGAAATTTGTATTCTAACATTATGTGCACCAGTTTAAATAAAACAACGACAACACAATCTTGAGTTCAGCGATATACGGGGCCGAGGCAAGGAATATATTGTGGCCGAAGTTTAGCTTGGTGCCAAAATTGGAAGCAAACGAATCGTCTAGAACCCACGGGTGCGTTGATGGATGAAAATGGGTTGGCAGGTGCACTCGAATTTCAGACTCTCATCACTTGGCTATGCCGTAATTTCTTTCGCTTCGTTTCATCCGTTTAATGATTGTGGATTAACTGACAACTTCCTTTATTACTCTGCTCATCTTAATTCGGAGCAATCCGTTGGATATATTTAAGGAGTAATTCATGATTTCTTCTTGGGATCGGTTTTGCAACTGCTGCGGAGAAGATTTCGCGGAGAAGGGTGTGTTACGTAGTCCAAGGCAAGGGGAACGGCGCGGGATTAGGCCCATTCAATGAACACTCGACCGCGTATGCAACACTGGAAGTGCCGCTGAATGGAATGAACCCGCGATTGTTGTGGTTTCTATTCTCGTTCCATGCCCGCCTACAGAGCGGCCGCCTCCCCGATCAGCAATGCTGTCATCTTTCTTGCTGTTCACGAAGTTGAGTACAACTAGCTTAGCTAGATAATATTTGGAGTGTACGAAATTAGAGACGTGAATTTTGGCTCACAATGATTTAAATTACAAACCTATCGAGAGATGGAATTACTGTCAGAAGGCATGGATAATAACAGTGGAGGTTAACTGCTTTCTAAAACTTTCTGTGATTCCTTGCAAGAGTTGTAGTTCATTATCGACAATGACATTATTCATCATGATGAACTTATTTGGTTATATGATAAGTTAGTGACGACTGTACTGTTCAGAAAAGAGAGAGAGCTAACAACAGTTCTGTGTTGGCTTGGACCCTGCCCTGGCCCTAATTTGTCCTTGGAAGTTGGATTTAAAGTTGGACTAAAGTACTACTAATTGGGAATACATGTAGCTGTAGCTGTAGACGGACTTTGTGGCAAATTTCCATCACATCACCACCATCATCATCGGCCTGTTATCTGTCGATACTCCACCAACATGGGGAAGGACAGTGAACTTGTTCAGGCTGTGAAGAATGAGGATTTACTGACTGTCCAACGGATTATCAGTAAATTAAAATCCAAACTCAGTAAGTTAATCCAATTTCCTTTTGCTTGTGTCGTAAAATGAAAGATTTTGTTGAAGCAGCGTGTGTGTTATTATATTATGTTGGCCCCTCTATTTCTCTCATGATCTTGTAACCTACAATTAATGTTAAATTGTGTTAAGGACAATACAGCTGAATAAAAGGAAAATAGTAATTTGAAAAATGGTAAGAATGATAAACATTCAACAAATTTTGAGTAACCAAATTACATTGATTATGTAACTGTAAGTGAATTATAAAAATGAAACTTCTGAATGAGGAGAATAATGATTGTTGCACCGCAGAACCACCAATAGTAAAGTGGAAATTATGTTGGTTTATTATAACATTTAAGGCTCGGTTTGAAAAGACCATTGTTAAAGTAATTTGGCAGTGATGACACTTGTATTTAATCACTGTCAAATAATTTTAAAGACTAAATTATAATTTAAAAAAAAATCAAGAAATAATAATTTCATGATTTAATGATACTTTGATAGCCATAATTTAATATCCTTTTCAGATCAGAAGAAATACATGTATATAATATATGCATAAAGAAACATATTTAAAGAATAATTATTAAGCAAAAACAGGTGTACAAACTAGTTGGCCTTGTATAAAGAAAAGAAAAGAAAAACAGTTTTCAAGAGATCAATTGACATGACAGCTGGCCATTCGTGACAGTGTGTGCTCACTAGTATAAAGCCATGCGAGTTTTATGATTTTCAGACTAGAATTGGACCCTGAATCTTGACCAAGTTTTGCGTTTATACAGGTATCTATCTTCAAACATGCATTTTGCTATACAATGTTTTATGATATGAGGTAAAGACTAGAATAATAATCATTGTATTGCAGGGCTTGACACCAACAGGCATCTGGAACACATGGATGCTCAAAATCTAAGGCCGTCCCTCCAAACATTAAAAAAAATGTACGTACATGTACAGCTCAGGCATATACTTGTAGAGAACAGAATTTAAGAGAAGAACAAAATCTGAACCCCCTTACAAAAAAAGTATGAAGCCCTGTGAATTCTAGTAACAAGTCTTAATACAACCTTTACTTGATCTAAAGATAAAGACAAACATGAAGAGTGCTACATAACCTCAATGTACAATACATGTATATCTTTTTAATTTTGTGAGAATGTAAGTTGAACTACCCTGTATGATTAGAATAAGAAAAAAGAAAAGAAATCAACCACTTACTGTACAAACACATCAACCACTTAACAAAAACAAACACAAAACAAACCAATAAAAAACAACGTTGATTTCCCTTATTTTACTGTACTACAATCACAATGTTCAATTTATTATGTTGTACCAAGTACAAAGTGTTAAACTTTAAGCTGTAAAAATGATTAATGAACATCTACTTGTATGGTACATGTTTCTATATTGCCTACAAAAGTCATTTTACATTGTATATCTCTTGGAATCTATCCCATCTCGTAAATACTTGCAAATGTTAAATTGAACTTGCTATTCATGGCTGAAACTTTAATGAGACATCTACGTACCAGTAAATATACTAAATAACTCTTCATGTGATAGCGCATTAACATGTAACGGACTGGTATCAACTTACCGTACCCCAGTACCTACAGGTACATATAATCTATGCATCGCAAATACATACTGGTACTTATTGAACGTAGTACTCTGTATGCACATTTCATTGTACATCTCGATGTGCAAGTTGTCCATCCATGCCTAGTTAACTTAATCCCCCACACAGCCTATCTGATGTTTATCAGCCAAGCCAACTGTCTGCTCAGAAGATTTAAACTTATGTCTGTTTATCATTCTAAACACATTGTGCGTGACAGACATTTAAGTACAAGATACATGTACATCCATGTTTTCAACTATACTATTTCCTTTGTATTCAGCATCTTAGCATACAGAAAAAGGTTTTTATTTGTTTAATTAGTCACTGGATGTTCTTGTCTTGATAAAGGATGAATACATGTGTACACACAGCACAGTGCGTGCTAGAGGGTGCGATTGCATTCATTCACTTTTCAGTCAGCTTTGCAGTGCCTCGCATTAACGAGACGATTATGCATAATAGTTGTAGTGACTGTAGTCATGAATGAGAAATTATCTACTGTACATGTACATGTATGTATGTCTGTTTTTGTTGTTAGTCTTGTCAAAGAATTTCAAGGGAAATTATCGGCTTACTGGTAGTTTGATTCAGGTTATTTGCCTGTGTACAGTATATACACACTGTAGGTCTTTCAAACAATTGATCATTGTGTTGATTGAAAGGGGATATACATTGTAGACCTTCAAATAACAGAATTGGATACCTTAGTCATACTGTGGATAGATGCTATTTTGGTTGCTCTTGCATTATCTCTCAACACTCTTGTGGAGAAGATGTAAAAATACATCCTAGATTAGAGGTTTATTACAGCAGAAGACATGATTTAATAATAGCATCTCCACTGCGCCAGTCGATCAGAAAAAGTTATTCCAATTTTCATGGGAGGGTGGCTAAAATAAACAAGACCTTTAAAGTCCAGTGCTTCTCGCACAAACACGGAGGAGGGGTCAAGTATGGGGCACGAGGCATTCTCTCTCCACAATATGTGACGACTGAAGTGGGATATCCTAGTCGCGCTGTATAGCACAGTCCATTTGCCAAATGCCCAGCTTCAATCTCACCGATGACAAACATCGTGGGTCAGAACGGGATGCGACGGCGAGATGTGTAAATTGGCTGAGCATCTGGTTAGAGTGCCGTTAGCGGATCACCGAGGGATTTGTGTATGCATTGAGCTGGCATCCTTCCGGCAACATTGTCTTCATAATGAACGCCGCGAATTGGATGAGATAGAGTCGCGCTATATTCAAGGCCGTTCGGTTAGAAATCGCTATATAAATGGACATGTCTTGCACAGTTTGATTGGTGTTTCAATACACTGCGGTAACCTGCGATTGAAAGATCAATTTCCATGCAGGTACTGTGCCGGGGTTATTAAGGGAAACCCTGCTCCTGAATGAATATTGAACCGAGTGCACGCAGATGAAATTTGAGACATTTGGTCAGAGGCAGTCTTGTAAACTGTCGATTTCCATCGAGGGGTCGGAAAGGGTAATGTAATGGAAGTGTAAATCAATACTCGAGGGACTGCACTTGGCGATATTTGACTTTTGTTAGAACAAATAGGTACATTTTAACCAGATAGAAAACAAATGGCTACATGAGCATTTTTTTACAGTTGAGGAGGAGTTGAAATTGAAGAAGAAAAAAATGTACTATTGGACTTGTCTCAAAAAGAGCCTAAGAAAAGTCTCCTAAAATAAAAAGAACAGAATGTAGACCTGAAACATGAACATGTATTTACCAATGTACAGTATGTTTTACTGTAGAATGGAAATGATTTCATTCTTCAAAGTCTTGTTTATACATTGTGTACTTGTACATGGTTATGTTGAGTTTGATGATTTATTGAAGCCTAGAGTACATGTACCTGTACATGTACAGTGTACATGCAAGGAGGATATTCTCTTTGGTACATGTACATGTACAATTCTCTTTCAGTCACTCCTCCTCTCTTCCCCTTTTCCCCAACCAATTTCTCTGTGCCTTTTAATTTCACCTCAATTATCAAGTCTCCCTTGTAGAATTCTCATCTCACATCAATGTCTATTAAATAGTCAATACACCCTGCACTCGTCAGATAATTCTTTAAGAACATATATTTGAATGATGATGCTGTTTGCACTTGTGATGTAATATGACACAGCAAGTTTGTGAGAGATGAATTGGCTCTGTACACTGTACATGTATGTGGTCTCATTGCCTCCATGTTCATGAAGCAGCTAGGGTCTTTGTTTGGAATTGTGTCAAGGGAACGGAATAATTACGTCTTAATTATCTTAATCGATTGGGTCAAGTCTTGGCATTCCACTGTGACATGAGTTAGAATATTTGTTTATATTCTGTAGTAACATTATACAAGTATGCTACATGTATGTGTGCAATTGCTGCTTTAATACATGGATGAACATGTACATGTGTAGTTGTGTACATGTACATACATGTGCATCTTGTATGATTAATGAATTGTATTGATTCATGTAAAACCAGTCTGCATAGGACTCCTGTACATGACTGTAGTTTCAGATTCATGTCAATACAAGCAATGTTGTTGCTTGTGTTTATAAATGCGATTTTAGTGTGATTTTATTCCATTTCTCAGTCATTTCAATCTGAATGAAATTAAGGATTTACAACCAAATACAGACAAACCCAGAATAAACATCTTGGGAATGTTGCACTATTTTCAACACTGCCAACTTTACTTGCCCAACTATAGGCTTTAATAAAATGTACAGTGTTCATGTACATTGTATATAAAAATGATATATACACCTGTACATTATTCCCATCAATATTTTCTTCACATCTCTAATCAATGTACAGCATGTGTAGCTGATCTCATTTTATTTCTCATCACACTAGTTCCCGGCAGCAGCAAGTACACTGTACATGTTATATTTTCTCATCAAGTAGACTGAAAGAATGGACTGCCTGAAGATGCTATTACTATGTGTCTCATACATACTGCAGTTGTTGGCTTTATGACAAGATCGGCATGCTATGCACACATGAGCCCACCCTCTTTAAATTGGATTCTGGTAGAATGGCCGCTGCTCGCTCCACAAATATAGCCGTAATGGTTAGATAGCCGACAGGCAGCATGCATCCCTTGACTCATCTAGACCCATTTAGAGGGGGGAGGCTACCAAACAAATCTGTCTTCGGCAGCTGTATGGGTGTATTGTGCTGCCAAAACAGAGTTAAAGAGAAAAAAACGGAGGGACAATGCTATTCTCGTTTCAAATTGAACCAAATTGAAAGCAAATGTTTTGTGGCAACATTCAATTCAACCCTGAAAGGGTTTTTATCGATGGGGTCCTCTTTCTCTCGTTCATTTTGTGAGGGTGGAATAAAATGGTGGAAAGGGTAAAAGGTGAGAT